CCAACGCCTCATCATCTTTAAAAAATGTTCGTCTTCCATCAACTGTTTGCACTGACAGTTTATTGTCGAAGGTAGCATAATAATGAATGTCCTCATCAGGTAAAATGTATTTGCAAAACTTAATTTGACCTGTTTTGTCGATAGCTGAAAGTTGACATAACTCGGCACCTCTATCTAATGAGGTTGTTTCAATATCAAACACGATGATATTGTATTCTATATTGATGTTGAATTTTTTAATTTGACAACTTGGCCTTGGGATGAAAGCGGAGATTGCTTCTTCATAAAAAGTCAGTATTTCTCTCGGGATACTTTCACTCGCACTGGTTGTAGACTCAAACTGATTCAAGCTCATGGCACTGTCGGACTTATACGTACGTTTTGCCCTCTTGATTTCCTTTTTACGCAGTGCTTTGATACCAGGATCTATATCCAAAGCTTTGAAACGTAGAAGAAATAATAATATAGGCAACGTTGGTCTAGTCCACAGCACTAGCCAGGGAAAATTTATACAAGACCGAATAGACGCTGTTAAATTTTTAATGATAATGAAAGCGACGCTGCTTAATTGGTAATGATGAAAATGACCCTACGGTTGCCCGTATGTGCAATACACAAATAAATATAGAAGTGCGTAAAAAAGATATAAATCTCCAGCAAAAGAATCATAACGAAAATCAAACTAAAGTAAATGGTTTGAACCTGGGAGCATCGTTATATCCTTGTAAATGTGGATCGTCCAGGTTGGTATAGTCCTGTAAAGGGCTGTTTTTGTTGTTGTTGACTGACGTTTCGACAACCTTAGCGGTAGTCATCTTCATTTGATTCTGAAGAAGACTACCGCTAAGGTTGTCGAAACGTCAGTCAACTACAACAAAAACAGTCCTTCTCAGGACTATACCAACCTGGACGATCTACATTTACAAACATGAAAATCAAACTAGGTACAAGTAAATAAGGAACATTTAGCGTTAATTTTTGAATAATACGCGACAAAAAGTATTAAAAAACACGACTAAATCTTTTACTTGCGTGGAATGTAGAATCACCAGATATAGTTTGATTGCAAAATATAAAGTTGCATGTGAGAAGATTATGGATTTTGTGCGACGTTAGGTGTAAACGATACATGTTCTCAACTTGGCCTGCTTTCACAAACCAAATCACACACATGCGAAGCCGATTTTCTTGACACGTGTAGCATTTGGCGTATTCAAACTTTTCCATAAACGATTTTTTCGACTCTTACAACTAGTGTGAACTAGGCTTAAGTACTTTTCAATTTTTTTAAATTTGATTTTGAAGGACTTTTCATGTGCTCTTAAGATGACTTTCTAATTTAAAAGCTTTTTAAGTGTCCTTTAAATTGATTTTTTCGAACTAGAAAGTTCTTCTTACTGGAAAACACGGGTACGGGTACACCGGTAGAATATGACGGGTAGATTTTAACGGGTAGATTTTGACGGGTAGATTTTGACGGGTAGATATTGACAGGTAGATTTTGATGGGTACATTTTGAAGGGTAGATTGTCACAGTTGTTTATTTTGATGAGAAATACAAACACACGAACATATACAAGGAAATATATTTGCAAATTTCCAATGTTTTTTAGAGAAATCTACTCGTCAAAATCTACACGTCAATATCTACCCGTCAAAAATCTACCAGTAAAAATCTACTCGTCAATATCTTCCCGTCAATAATATCTACCCTTCAATAACATCTACCCGTCAAAATCCACCCGCAACCGTGTACCCGTATCCGTGTTTTCCAGTTAATCGAAAAGTTCTTTGTTTTATGTTAATTTCTAAGGACTTTCAAGCTCCCTTAAATTGATTTTCTATAATTTAAGGACTTTTCAAATGCTCTAAGCATCTGCACGAGCCCTGAATAGTAATACTATCTTACCTATATATCATATTTCTTCTATATGATGATGAGGAACTTTCAAAAAAAGCTGTCTATAAAAGTGAAATATAGCTGCATGAATTGTTTCGTTATAGTGAACCAGCGTGATTTTTTTTGCTCGGTGAATTTTTCTTCCTTTTTTTTCTAACTTTTCAGTAAGGGCCTATAACTGTTCATATGAGCGTGATTTTTTCAGCTCGCTGAATTTTTCTAATTTTTTTCTCTGACTTTTCAGTAAGGGCCTATGGCTGTTCATATGAGTCCAGACATCCCACTGACCGAGCTAAATATGACCTCGCTTTTATATGAGTAATTCAATCCAGTCTGCCGCGGCGAAATAGCAAAAAAACAATTTCCAAAATGTTGCGGGTTAAAAAGCAACTTGGCACATCCTACACCAACATTTTTTGAATTGTATGGGTCCATTACCGTTTATACCAATAGTTTATACCTTTTATAGTCTATGTTTTTATAACGAATACTAATTTTATATTCAAATAATGAATTCAACATTAAATCATGTCATTATTCTAGCGTAGTTGCTTCTTTTCGGCTTAATTTCCGCTTCTACTCCATTGGCCGCCATGTTTTTAATATCATAATTTCATCTCGGAAAGCGAGAATTCACACGGAAAATTTTCATACTGCCTACATATGACCTCGCTTGCTACAGATGAAATCTAGACCACCGAGCCAGCCTGCCTTCACAGTTAACACAATTAACTGTGACTGTTCGACTATTGTCCACAAGCGCATTAATTTATTTGTAGGGTAGTTTTTAGTCCTGCTGGACAAAAACAGAACGAACAGTAGGTATGTCAACGGTTATTAAGCACTTTCAAGTTCTTTGTTTTAGTTTCATTTTTAAGGACTTTTAAAAGTACCCTTAGATTGATTTTCTATTTTATGGACTTTAGAAGTGCCCTTTAAATTTATTTTTCGATTTAGGGACTGTTTAAGAACCTGTACAAGGCCCTGATTAGTAATGCAATGCAGCACGTTTTTATAGTTTTTTATGACCACGAGAAATTCTAAAAGCAGCCTGCTTGTAAGTCCTAATAAATTTCTTTCAATGTCATTATGATTTGCTATCAAGTAAATGGTTCAATACTTTAGTTTTTAGGTGTGTAAATAGTGTGACTGAAGTTTTTATTTTGTTCATGTAGTGTAATGGGAATTTTATATAATTATATTACAATAGCTCAAGCAAAATGCAGCTTATACTTTAGTAATAATGCAGGTGAATTCCACTAATAATTGTGACAACCAGTTTGAATATTAATACATTTAAATATTGAACTATCGACAGTTCGTGATAAATATACGCTGTGTGGGTTGTATTTAGTTAAAACCAAAATGTAAAATATCCTTCATTTTATATTGAAAACATTTATTTAACTCTGTTCAGGATTTAACTCTTACAGTGATTTATTATCACCAAACAAAGATTGAGTGATTTATTTTTTCCGATCACTTTCTTTTCAATTGTAAGCTCTCGACCGTAACAGTTTCACACTGCTGCACACAATTCAAAAGAAAGTGATCGCAAAAAGTCGATCGCGCGACAATTTACCCTGAATGGAAATCAGCCTTTACACAGCCGCGTTTACACTACAAGCCTTTGCTTACCTAGGACTTATACAATCGCGTTTACACTACGAGCCTTAGCCTTACCTAGGACTTATACAGTCGCGTTTACACTACGAGCCTTTGCCTTACATAGGACTTATACAGTCGCGTTTATACTACGAGCCTTTGCCTTACCTAGGACTTACACAGTCGCGTTTATACTACGAGCCTTTGCCTTACCTAGGACTTACTCAGCCGCGTTCACACTACGAGCCTTTGCCTTACCTAGGGCTTACTCAGCCGTGTTAACACTACGAGCCTCTGGTGCAATTTGAATAACAATAGATTTTTGCATGGGAATTGATTAAATTGTGGCGAATCGCTCATAGCTTAAGACTGCGTTTACACTATACCGGATTCCCACATCACAACATCTTCATTTTCTTTAAAGGGGTAACTGTACGGACTAAAAGCTCATAGATCTAGTCTATTTGACTGTGTTTCTGACTTCGAACAATTTCACTGCATTTTAATATAAAGAATATTCAACCTGCTCCGATACGAATCCGGTATAGTGTAAACAAGGCCTAAATTTCTACCTCTCCTCAGCTGAGCAAAACTGCATCCTGACTGAAGTTCGGTAAAAAATAGACACAGTTCTACTCTATTTCAATGTAGCTATTGGGTAAAGTAAGGATGAAAGAGACAGTTGAGAAAGTTTTGGGGCATTAGCTTTTTGAATCACATCACGAATGGATTTTGAAAAAATTACCGACTAACCAATTGTAAGTTTGATGAAAAAAAAATGAAAACAGTATTTACTTAAATCATTCTATAGTCAACGCCTTGTATTGTTGTCAACTTGTCTTGTTTTCAATTTATATTGTTGAATTTGCTTGGCAACCGACAAACACCTGTCTTACAACGACCCCTTTTTGTTGTAAGACAGGTTTTTAGAGGAGACCTAAATGCTATAAAACCTATTCATAACGTCACCCTATAACGTATGCTTGCGTATACATACTTATATGGGTGATATTGACCAAACGCTGCCATATGCTGGTGCTATATGCGTCTTTGTAACAGGGAGGTTATTCACGAATCGACTTGTGGCATGTTATGTTTCTATCAAGCTTATATCAAATATTCATATAATAATTTGTAAGAACGAAAGATTGATGTCATTGTTAACACCAGTCAAAAAAATATGCTCGGGTACAATGTTTATTCCTTTTTAAAAATGCATGTTCAGAATAGAGAAAGTTCTCGTGAAGATATTAATTTATTTTGAATACCTAAATATGTGGGTGGCGTGAACGTAATGCGTCATTGAATCACACAAAATTTAATTGCATATTGCGTACATTTAAAATAATTTTTATTTTTGCTTTATATTGCAACTAACCGCATAAAATGTCGTAAATATATCACGGCATACGCCAAAAATTACTTTAATATTACTTTGCATATTGAATAATGTCAGTAAGTTGAACACCTAACATACCTGCTAATTTAAGTACTGTGAAGTAATGGAAATTTCAATAGTAGAGTTGTGTAAGTTTCATTATGATTGGTTCAAATTTAAGAATAATGCATAAATGGAAGAAGTATATTTATAATCATCAAAACAGACAGATTAAAGACAAACTGTTTTTGATTTTAAAAATAAAGTAATAGAATCATCTGTATATATTCAAAATTTAAACATAATAACTGAAACATGATTGATGTTATTATTCTTGAGGCAGTTTCATTTCTTGGCGGAATTAAAATTTCAGACATATTTACAAGCGGCATTACTGACTATTTATGGCGCCAGGAAGTCAAGAAATCTTTAAAAGAAATAAAAGACAAATTAGATGGTCTTTCGCAGGTAGATCTTCGTTCGAGTATAGACTTTTTGGAAGAAGGAATTGTTGAACTTTTTCTGTGCTTTGACAAAGTGAAAAATTTTGAATCGAGAGAACGTACAAAAGAAAATAATGACGACATTTCAACGGCAACGTCCAGTTCCAATATGCGTAAAGCTTGGAGAGCAATGGAACAACTCATTCAAGAAAATAAAAATTTAGAGACTGGGTCAATTAGCTTTGAAAATGCAAAGAAAGTATTTTACACATCCCGGGAAGCAGCAACGAAGGCGTTCAACAACGAAAATTTAAGCTTTGAGAACAGAATATTGGCTGTAAAAGTTAAGATCGTGGCAATATTTTTGGAGCGCCTTGATTGCCCAGAGGAAGCCATTGAGTTGTGTTTACAGTATATGAAAAAGCTACATCAACTGGACGAAGTTCGTAAAACGTTCTCACTTCACATCAAGGGTGGCTGGAGAGCAAAATTGAGCAATATAATAGACGACAGAATGAAAATTATAAAACCCGTGATGCTCATCAACCGTCAATTGTATGACTTTATTGCGAGTATCAAATACTATAGTAGTCATGTATGGGATTGGCCAACTATTGAACATGAAGGACTGTTGTTTAACCCCATATTAGACTGGCGAAAGATCTCCACCACAAATTCTTGGGGTGAAGATTTGATTGCATCTCCAAACGAATTCGAATTTGGCTTTTTTATCGGACCACATTTGCGATGTATTATGAGTTGGGATGTTAACAGTCGTGGTGAAATCGTAAGTGGTATTAATAACGTAATTAGTCTTCGTAAGCCATATGTTAATTTAGGAAAGCGAGGTTTTACACTTGATGACGTTTATCATAAATATCCAAATAATGACAATACGTGGATCAGTGCTTTATCAGTGGATCAAGAGGATAACGTGTATGCAATACGAATGGTTGCTTATTTTGATGAAGAAAGATTTGAGAAGTCTTTTCATATTTTTGATAAAAATCTATCCATGAAACATAAAGTGGACATTCAGTCTAGTGTGGACACTCGGGGTTGTAGGTCTCCTTCTATAGACACTCCTGATCATTGTTTGAAGATCTTTAACGATAATGTTGTGCTGCTCGAATCTCTAGTCAGGCGTAATGATTACCCTTGGACAGGTGAAGTGTTTATTCATGACAAGAACGGAGAATTTCGCAAGCGTTTTTTTGCACAAGATTATGTGGAAGCATTGGCTATTTCAAACAAAAATGAAATCTTTCTAGCTGGATGTAGTTCTATCTACGTTTACACGATGGAAGGCTCGTGGATTAAGACGGTGACACTATCAATGCAAGAGATTTATGATATAGCATTTCATTTTGGTCAAGGCAAACTTCTTATTTCGAGTTGGCCACGTCGTGCTATCATTTATGATCTTGACTCCGGGGATGAAAAGGAGCTGATGCAGGAATATCCTATTAGATATACTGTAGTCAAAGGGCATCCTGATGAACCTACTTTCTTGGCCCAAGGGCCTAAGCGCATCTTTCGAAACAGGGATTTGTATAAAGTTCTATTCATATAACTTTAAAAATTTTAAACTTCTTGCTAATTTCAAATTTAGATTTACACAATTAAAATGAGAACCATTATTGTTGCACCAGGGGCGGATGTAGAGTATGTCAAATCCGTCGCGCGACTGATGTTTGAAATTCAAAAATTACCTATCATATTAATTAAAAATTCATTAATTATTCTTACTTTATATCGCATTTACTTCGTGATAAAAATCCAGCTTTATTTATTATTGAAAACTAATGACTAATCAATGAATATCTCCTTGGTAACCAGATCAGTGGAATTTTAATTGACCTGGAATAACAGACTGATAAGCGGGGTGGCTTGACTGGTTCGACGGATGAAGGAGTGAGCGCCAAAAACGCTTATTTTATTGGTCAATGGCCAGATCAGTGGACAGTCTGGAATGGTCTCGACTGATAATAAGGGTGGCCGACGTATAAGGGAGTCCAATTGCTATCTTACAATTGGTTCATTTGAATTTTTGTTTTATTGTGATTGGTTTGACGGATTTCGACTCATAGCCAACTGAACTAACATAGTCAAGCTCACTATCTGAATAGGCCTTTTGCAGCTAGAGGTCACGTGCTTAGGTAACGCCATACTGGAGAGCACGCTTTCCTATAAACAATGGCGAGTTTAAGGCAATTTAATATGTAAAGTAAATTTTCTTTGTTTTTGTGGCGATTTCGGCTAGACAACACTAACATGGCGTCGAATCAAGGTATGTGAGAAGCAAAATTTTTCATCAATTCTTTTTCTTGACTTTTTTTAATCGAAAAATGAGTCACAAGTAGGAGATTTGGCTTTCGGGAAGGTATTAATGATTAATCTATTGTATTTTCATGTTTTTATGCATGCTTCTCCAGATGATTCGTGTACCGAATTTCGATTCGATTAGCGTTTGTCTCCATCTCAATTAAAAAATTTTCCGCGAGTTGTAATATTTAAAAAAAAGAGTGATATTTTGTCTGAATGGCGTGGTTGCGTGAGATTGCGTCGAAAAGCGTGAGTCTCACGCCAAAAGCGTGAGACTTGGTTACAATGCGAAAGTGAAGACATAAGTTCTCTTCCTAACTTGACTTTTGCATTTGTCGAGAAGTATGCAAAAGAGTTGTCAGGATGTCAGAGTACCGCAAAGGCCTACATGTTTTTTGCTGAACCTGGATATTTACATGAAATGAAAGGTAAATTGCCAATCATTGTTCGCGTTTTCTTTAGTTACTAAGCTTACTTTCAGAGTGTGATTAATTTGATCTCATAAAAATTTTAATATTCTTTTGTCAGTTACAACCAAGGATGATTTAGCTGTCATAAATGCTCGATGCTATCGATCAATGAAGAAAAATGAGCCTCCACATGTACTTGAAACCAAGATCAACATTGTTAACAGTTCAATTTCTGCAAGGTGTTCATGTGTAGCTGGTGTTGGGGGATACTGCCATCATGTCGTTGGATTGCTGTTCTTTCTAGCCCATTGCAAACAGCTAGGTCTTCGCTCATTGCCCGATTCATTGACATGCACTAGTATGCCTCAAAGATGGAGTGTACCCAGAGGAAAAAAGATAGAACAGAAGAAGATTCAAGATGTGCTTGTCAAAACCAAGAGCAGGGCTAATTTCACCAAATTTATTAAAAGCACACTATATTCACCTTCAAATGTTTATTTACCAATGACAAAAGAAAATTTTGATGATTTTGAAAGCAAACCATTAATAGCAAGTATACTTCCAAGTGAAAAGAACCTTGCAAGTATCCCACTTGTGCAAAGTAAATTTGGAGAAGTTCCTAAAGGATGTGTTCTTTCTTACCAGCAAAAGCTCTTTCAAGACTATGTTATCAATGATTTCAGTTGTACCAACTTTCCAACACTACCATTGGCCTGGCTTCAGCGGAAATGAGATTTAAGAATAATTGTTCCAGTTGTCTCACAAAGCAACAACAAGCTTCTTTAGATGCTATAATGATTACTCAAGAAGAGTCACTTGATATCCAAGAGAAAACAATCACTCAAAGTGCAAACAGTTTGTGGCATATGTTAAGAAGTAAAAGAATCACAGCAAGTAAGTTTGGGATTGTTGCAAGACGGTCGAGGGATTTTGAAAATCTTGTAAAACAGCTCAATCCATCTCGTCATGTCATAACTGCAGCTATGAAAAGAGGCATTGATTTAGAATCCACAGCTGCAATGGCCTATGCTAATGTTGCTAAGAATGGGTCTGTGAATCTACTTCTTTCTGGATTAATTATTCATCCCAGATGTCCTTGGTTGGGCTGCAGTCCAGAACGATTGGTATATGACCTACAAGCAGCTGCGAGTTGTTGCAACCCTTTTGGATTGTTGGAAATCAAAGTTTTCAAGGAAGGTGAAAACGACTTTGCTAATGTTAGATATCTTTCAAAAAATGTGGCTACAAATGACTTTATTTTGAAGAACACTGATATTTACTTTTACCAAGTACAGTGTCAGTTAGCTTTGACAGGTCTTGAGTGGTGTGACTTTTTTAGCTACATAAGTGACACACATTTTGTTTGCAATAGGATTAAATTTAACAAAGACTTTTTTCAAGAGGCAAAAAATAAGGTTGATGGTTTTTATTTTCAATATTTTTTAAAGTGATTGTCGTAAACTTGTGATAATTTTCTACAATTTTGTGAAAATCTCTTTTATTCTCATAGTCATAGTCTGTTACATGTTTTTTAGCTACATTTAATTCTTTTTGACAAGAAAACTGTAATCCAATATTTAGAATTGTTAATTCTTACTAAGATCAGAAATTAGTGGACCTTGGAAATTGGTAAGCAAACATGCAACTGTGTATATTTGATTAATTGACCCCAATGAATTAAGTGGTACATCAGAATCAAAAATATGATACTCTTTTATCCTTCGGATAGCCCTTTCTACATGTATGCGGACACTTGCAATTTCTTTGGTTTTTTGAACATCATTTTGAGTAAACTGAACATTACTCTCTAAGAAGGGGGGAATATTAAGTATTGTTTTCTTTTCTAATAACAGATATTCTATATCAAAACATTTGTCTGCCATTATTGAATCTCCCTCCTCAATTAAATCTAAGATGCCACAACACCTAGTTATTTCTTTATCTGAGATTGCTCCAGTATATAACCCAGATACAAAAGAGACTGCCCCATGAGGAGAGATCCCAACCAAACCTTTAAGGGTAGTGTTGCTTTTATAGCTTGAGTATAATTGTGACTGTAATAATAAGGAGCTGGGAGTTTGTACGAAAATTTCTGTGCAATCTATTATAACTCTAGTACTTGGGTAAAGCCTACGAAAACACTGGGGCATGTAATTATTGACATTTTCCCTAGAAGGCCAGATTACTTGACATCCCAACATGAAATATAAGTAATTGCTCCATGTAACTATTTTTCGGCTAACAGTGGATATATGTATTTTAAATCTGTGAGCAAGGTCTTGCTCAAATAAGCCCAATCTAATACGAACCAGGAACATAAACAACTCGTCTATAACTAGCATGGTTCGTGCTTTTGGACGACTTTCTCTATCTCCTGTAGCATAACAATAGGTCATTCTCTCAGCAGTTGGTTTTATGATTTCATAAAAAGCCTTAATTTGTTCATAAGAAACAAATCCTGTGTAGAATCTGACTATGTCATTGTTAGTTGAAAATCTTTCTAAACCAAATTTGGATAGTGCTAACTCCTCGGCGGCAGCCTTCTTGGTATTTTCAATTTCTTTATGTGCTTGGGCCTTGAATGCATTCATTTCTTCCATAACAGAAGCTGTTTCTTCCTCACTTTTTTTTAATTCTTGGGTTTTCAGAATTAACTCCAATCTTAATCCTTCCAACTCTTCTTGCATTTTTAGCAAAGGATCGACTGTGCACACTTCACTGCCAGTTTCTTCAATTGCATTTTCTTCAGTTTGTGTCTCTCTAAAGCAAATAACATTTTAATCATTAAGAAACAAGGTACAGGTGAAGGCGATAATATAAACTTATTATTGACAATTCCGCATACCCAGTCCAAGTGCGAATTAGTTTTCTTCTTTTTGGAGTCATTGAAGACCAGTCAAATTGGCTGGGAACAGACCCCTTTTTTAATAAACACCGTCCTGCATTATCAGGAGGTAGGTAATCGTCCTCTAAAAAGTGTCTCGAGCAAACCCTTGTGCTGCTTGATATCTTATAAAGTTAAAACAAAACATAGCATTAGTGCGTATTTATTTACAAATGATGCACTATCTAAGATTCACTGAAGAAATATGCAAGAACTTTTTTTATAATAATACAAAGCTACCTTGAAATCAGGCCCTTCGTCTCTTCGTATTTTGCCAGCCAAAGTTTACGGGTTTCTTTGCCGTCATTGGCACTTGGAATGCGATGGGACTTCAGGTCTTGGTGATATCTGGAATCTCCATTACATAGAGGCACACAACAGTGGTAACTTGATCTTTTTTTGGCTTTAAAGTCGCTGAGCACTGAAGTTTATTTTGAACACTTGCGGAATCTTCGAGAATGAGTGAAAATTTACTCCTTTTTAGTTAAAAGTCAAGAAAAAGAATTGATGAAAAATTTTGCTTGTCACATACCTTGATTCGACGCCATGTTAGTGTTGTCTAGCCGAAATCGCCACAAAAACAAAGAAAATTTACTTTACATATTAAATTGCCTTGTACTCGCCATTGTTTAATGGAAAGCGTGCTCTCCAAAGAGACGAGCGCTTAAAGTGGTATTCTGTTTCTTAGCTCGTATCTGAGGATAACCGAGGATTACAAAATTGACAACGCAAGCAGAGTTCCGATTGACTTGAAACAATTATTTTTAAGGTGTTGATGGCTCATTGTATGCTCAGGCGTAAGTAAACAACACGATTTACTACTTGCTCGAGGTAAGTAAAGAACAACTTATCAACGCCTACAGGACGAATTATTTTACAATATTATCTTTGCAACATTGTCTGCTCAGGCGGAGGTAAACACGATTTACTACTTGCTCGAGGCAAGTAGTGAACAACTTATCAACGCCTACAGGACGAATTATTTTATAATATTATCTTTGCAACATTGTCTGCTCAGGCGGAGGTAAACACGATTTACTACTTGCTCGAGGCAAGTAGTGAACAACTTATCAACGCCTACAGGACGAATTATTTTATAATATTATCTTTGCAACATTGTCTGCTCAGGCGGAAGTAAACACGATTTACTACTTGCTCGAGGTAAGTAGTGAAAAACTTTTTAACGCCTACAGGACGAATTATGGAAGACGTGGAATTTATCTTCAAAAATTATTTTTCATACAAAATAGCCAGACTAAAAATCGTAAGATTTCTTGAGGACGTCGCCTCTGTTTTGTTTCAGTGCAAGACACTTCGAAAACAAACACATCACTTGCATTTTAAGCGAGAGCGCACAGACAATGAAGAAAGCTTAAGATGATAAAAGGACCTTTTACGAAACAGATTAGACCTTCATCAAGATTTTCCTCATATTTGTCTTAAACGTATCTCATATTATGTACAGGCTTGATGTGTATTATTTACATGTAAACTCTGTTTATGGTCGAGCTATCCGAAATGCTTACCTATTTTTACATTTCAGTTTAACTAGGTGCACTATTGAGGCGAGACCACTGGGAGAGACGGTTAACGTACTTGAAACTGAAGTGTAGGAACGTAATTATGCGAAATGTGTAAGTTTTAATAACGCGTTTGAGAGAAACAAGAATAGGCTATTCCCATTTTCCTATGATGTTTTTAGATAACTCTAGATAAAACTGTAAATGCACGTTATGGACGTCACTGTAAGCTCTTAACTTAACTATGGGATCCTCTAATGCAATGCTCAGTGCTGTGAGGAAAACGACAACAGAAGTCAAGCCCAGTGGCATGTTCCAAAAGCCTGTATTTAGTCGTAATCTATCAATGAGGTCACACAGCAGTAGCTACAAGTTATCAGCAGTAGAACAAACAAACAAACTCACTCGAAGCAACATTCTGAATTGCATTGTGAATAAGTTTTTACGGTAACTTAGTTGTAGATTTTCAACGGTGTTCATTTGCGTTCATTTTCGCCGTTCAGTTGAAATCGGCAATCTTACTTTTCGTCAGAGGTGAATACATGAACAAAACAGTTTATAATTATTTCTTTAGTTTCGAGGAATTCCTTTAATACATTACTATCATTATTAAATTTAGGGGTTTTACGTAAGTTAAGAGTTTTTTTTATTTGTTGGGGTTCCGTTATTAGTAGGCGTGTAAGCGCATAGATTGCATGAGAAAAGGTAGATGATGGAACCAGCTGAAACGTAAAATATTTTTTAAGGATGAGAGAATGAGCTTTGTAAGGAAATCATGTGATATCTGAAGTGCTACCATTAATATAAATAGTTGTAAATATCTAATGAAAGGGGGATGTTACGTTTGTGCGTTCAATTAAGTATAGGACAATAAAGTCCCAGAGTGTTATAGGATCAGCTCACGGAAAACCGAGAGGAGTTTTCCAACATTTAGATTTCAATTTTCGTTATGAAAGTCTTGGTATTCACAGCGTTCGTGGTGCTCCTTCTCGGGTCGCTCGATCAAACGCAGGCGGTTGCCCCATTTTTCAGGGTGTTTATAGCACTAGGCTACAAGTTGGCTACAAAAACGTACTACGCAAAATGCAATCCGCGAGACTTTCCTTCTCACTTGAATTGCCCTTCAGTCGCCTACGGTTTTGGCGGGAGCAAGAACTCGGCCATAAAAGCAGCAAGATGGTACGCGGATGGTATTGAGAACGGCTGTGGTCGTTATGTTGGTCACTGTCAAGTAAAGAAATTCCTCAAGTAAAAACAATGTTTGTAGAAAATCGGACTTTCAATTTATTTTGCTCACTGAACTGGACAATGAAGAATGAATTTATGTAATGATAATAATCGCAAAATTGTTATTGATTTCCAAACCAATCAATCAATAAAATTTTTTTTCTCTGCACTACTTTTTTGCTATTTTCTTATTTTCAACATTCACATCTGTTTCGAGCTTTGTATGGTGCCTTATTGTGCATTTGGTTCATAAACTAGAAGATGTTCTTTAATAAAACGACAAAAAATGCTTTTGTTATGTTGACCTGACGTATAAAACGACAAAAAATGCGCTCGTTATGTTGACATGACGTATAAAACGCCAAAATATGCCCTCGTTGAGTTGACATGACGTATAAAACGACAAAAGACTCGCTCGTAATGTTGACATGACGTTATGGTAAATTGAACAGTAAACTTCATCAACAGTATGCACATATGAATATTTGCTCCTTCCTCCCCACAATTATTGAGCTGCGTACGGCACTGATTAAGTTTAATTTGTACGATAAGCCATTTCATACGTCATCTCATACAGTTCAGTGTAAAAAATGATTTGTCTATCGCTACATTTTGAAGCTAGACGGTACGTTGAAATTTACAGTTAACGTTTGATGAACACGCAAATTGGAAGCAATGAATAACAGCACCAAATGAGAAAATTAAATAGAAATCTTCTGAAGCTTAACTCAAATAACTGGGGACTTGATTGATAAACTTGTTGATAAATATGGCAGCCATTATTTCACGTTATAACATGTTGGTGAAGGAGCAAGGATATTTTCACCTCCAGGCTCAAACGATAAGACAATCAGTGAGATCCATGTCAAAATGCAAGCCACTAGAATGTTGTAATAATGGCTTTGTATAACACCATTCTTCCTGAGATGATTTTTTGAAATGTTAGAGTGGCCTTTTTTAACTATTATTGCGTACTTCAGAAACACTAGAGAAAAAAGTGTTTATACACAATGTAGCCAATATACAGAGTGTCATCAGAAAAACGGAACCGTACAAACAATTTGTATGCATTAAAAGGAAATCTGCAATAGACAATATAGTCTGCAATAGACAATATAGTCTGCAATAGACAATATAGTCTGCAATAGACAATATAGTCTGCAATAACTATTTGCTCAACCTGGTTGATTAAGTTATACGCTTGTTTGTTGCAAAATATTCGTAGCAGCTATTGGAAAATGTGAATACCTTTTTTGATTGCTCTCTCTAAGTTATTGTCGCTTTGATTTTAGAAAGCATTTACTTATTAGATTTGAGACAAAAATCAGTGCATCAGAGTAATTTTAAATTACTTTGCTTTTAATTTTTAAATTCAACTTTTAAATCCCAGAGGAGCAGAACTGTCAAGAACATTAAACTGTTGTTAACGCTAGTTATATTATCAAAATATTTTTTCTTACTGAATCGATTACTAAGTCAATTTGTAATGGCAGTGTTTGAATACGTTCATTTGTATTAATCTTTTACAACATTTGAAACATCATGGCTTCCATTTCTTTAGTCACTGAAGATAGATTTTCTTCAAATCTCTCCAAAATCGTGAGAAGCAATCTTTCTGCATTCACATAACTCAATTTCATGTTTAATCTTGTCTCGTTTGTTTATCTTCTTGACGCAACGTTCATTAGAACACAACACTGGAGCAAAACCACAATTTTCAACATGTATTTCAAGATCTTCAACATTTATAAATTCAGGACAACCACGACTGGCGTAGTCGCAACTTATCTTAAACTTAGAAACCAAGTTATTTACAAAACGCGCTGGAAGAAGTGTAGCTAGTTATCATGACATTGAGGACATCTTTGTGCATTAACTCGTAGTGGTTCTTCAATAGAAAAACGAAAAAAGATGTGCTCGTTATGTTGACACATTCTGGTCTTTAACGACGTTCATGCAAATCGAACAATGAAAATTTTCATCAACAGCAGTCTTAAATCTCCATTCATCATATCCACTTTCATAATCATTTAGATAGCCCGCCATTTCCGAATATATTTCTGAATAATCTAATGTCTAACTTACTCCAAGATGTAGAAAATTATTTGTTTAACGTCCCGTTTTGCAACTAGAGAAAGCGTTCGAAACCTTCTATAAGATATTATGTTGAATAATCGCAGACGTTAAGATAATAAGACAAATTCGTTCGAATATAAATATGCAGGGCGTATATGTGTAGTACTCAAACATGGCAAACAAAGAAAAGTCCACAAAATTAAGTGCATCGATGAACACAGTTCAAATGATATTGGAACTATTGTCATCAATATCAACAGTTAAATAAACATCGAGATAATCATGTACGAAAACTTCATTGTTCAGAGCAAATGTTCATAGAAAACAAATAGAACGAAAGGGCTGTAAGTCGGAATAGCACGACTTTGCTTCTCACAAAATGCTTCCCAAAATTTCACCGTAAAAATGCCACGAAAGCATCAAAATATTATTCTCATTCAGTCTTTCACGCTCAGGTCACACGACCAATTATTAATAATAATCGTTTTATTGCTAGCACACTCAAGATTCAAATGCATGTCACGTGATTGTACTCACATAACATTCAATAATCACCACATAGGTCATTCCTCACTTTTTGATGGTAAATTTCTTAAATATTTTTATCTATCTAATGTTGTTCAGTATTACAAGTTCGATGCTTTGAAACAAGGAGAGGTGTACCCTTCACTCTTTATGAAAGTATAGTTAGTGACTACATAGTTTGAAACAGAGAGAGAGGTATACCCTTCAACCTCCATGAAAGTATAGTTAGTGACTACATAGTTTGAAACAGGGAGAGGTGCACCCTTCACTCTTTATGAAAGTATAGATAATGACAAT